GACTGCAGCCCGCCGCTGGTGCCTGCTGCTGGGGCTGCTGGGGCTGCGTGGGCGTCATCGTCAGCGGCGGCCGCTGCTGCTGTGACACGTACATCTGCCGATGCAGGGAGCCCTGCGCCGCCAGCGGCAGGGCCACAGACAAGATGACGGAGCCCAGCCTATCAATGCCGGCTGCGGAATTCAACGACTCGTCCACGGCCGGCTCCATCTCCCCCCCGTCGCCGTCCTCGTCGTCTTCAGGCTCCTCGTCGTCCTCATCATACCCCTCTTCCAACACCTCCTCCTCAAACTCCGCCAAAGCCTAAGACATGACAGTCGGCATGTTAATAGGAAGCGTGCATTAGAAGAAGACAGGGCAGGGCGTGAGGGAAGGCCATGCGAAACACATCTAAGCGATGAACCCCCAGCCCTGTGTCCGAGGACGGGGGACACCGTTCTTCTCCGCTACCGTTGCATGCAGGTGCATGCAGGTTACCTGATGTCAAATATTCCTTACCACGCAGAAGGAAGGCAGCCACGTCGGAATTGAAACGCGGGAATATTCCTCAATCCCCCAGCTTTTGTGGTAACACAAAGCGCAATATCATTTTAGCAATGCCACACCCTGCCACCACGCGCTCGACTCCTTGACTATTCCTTAGTTTTCAATTTCGGGGGTTTGGAAGTCATCTTTCCTCTCATGAACGACATCCATCCACCACACCATAGTCTCTCACCGCTTGGGCCAACGACATGCCGGGGTGATTCTGGCGCAAGGCCTCCAACGCCGGCGGTGCGGTCTTATGTCCCATCATGAAATTGCCAGTGCCAGTGCCGGTGCCAGTGCCGCCATCTCGCGCCAGGGGCGACCGACGTTCTGGCGACAGGTGGCCCTGAGGCGCATGGCTGGCAGCCGCCGGCGACTGTGAGGCCGCCGGCGCCAGGTAGTCCTTCGCGGGCCCTATGCCGTCCCGCGTCGCAATCAGGGAGGACACGTCAATCGAAGCAGACCGCTTGTGGCGATTGGACGACGGCGGCGCTGACATGGGCCCTGGAGGAGCCCCTGGCCCTGCCACAGCCGCAAGACTCCCCTGAAGTGGCCACCCACGGTTTAGATAAAAGGGTTAGATAGGGTCAAATAGGACGGGTGAGCTACATGAAGCACGGCGGCTTCTGTGCAACGAAGGCAGCTTCAGCGGGGAACGCGGACGCCGAACGGACAAAAAACGGTATTAATTGCGCTCCTGTCGGCGCTACGGAACCCCTGGCGGGGCGCTGAACGGTACAGTTCACACGCGGCCGCTGAACAGCGGGAAGACGATTTCAGCATCAGACCTACCCGCCTGCGCCCTAACGAATGCCGTGAATGCGAAATTACCACTTCTTGTAACGTAGGTCAAACAAGTGGTCAGACCCGAAGAAACCCATCCGAACAACCTGCTGTCTATCTGACGTGCTGTTCGAGCCCGACGCCGCCTCGGCCCATAGGTTCGCGTGCCCTCCCGCCGTGAAGCCATGGGCTGACGGAGACACAGATACTCCTCCAGTTGCTGTGGAGGAGTATCTGCTGTTGCTGCTGCTGTTGCTGTTGCTGCTGTTGCTGCTGCTGCTGTTGCTGCTGCTGCGACGCCGTGTGTACGAACGCGGCCTGCCCACCGCTACCCGCCCCGTGACTGACGGCTGCGTTGCGGAAGAGTGCGGCAGCCTGCGGTGCAACACTGCCTGGATGTGGCGGCAAGCTGCCAGCGCCGCCGCCAACACCGGCCATAGCGACAGCTGAGATTTGTTGTTGTTGATGTTGCTGCTGCTGCTGAGGCTGCGGAGGCGGTGCTAGCATGGTGGGATGCTGTGCAGAGTAGGCGTGGGTGTTTGTCGGCGACATGCCGGCAGCCGCAAGAGTGGCGGGGGCCAGCCCCGTCACTTGAGTGAATAGCGCCACTTGCTGTCTTAAGAGCTCCAACTCCCTTTGGAGCTGCAAATTCTGCTGCAACAAGTCAGAGGTTGGGTCGGCGGCAATCCGCTGCAGCGGCGCCGGTGGCGGCGGCGCGGTGGCTGCGGCACCGCCGCCGTACAACACAAACGGTGTTGCACGTGCGTCCACGGCAGCACCGCCGCCGACACCCCCGCTGTTACCGCGTTGGCTGACGCCGTCACCGTCCCTCGAGTTTACGTCAATGCTGTCGTACGACGCATGGCGGGAATGTCCACGCGAACCTCGTGAGCCGCCCGAATGCAAGCCTGGCCCAACGGGCATGTTCACAGCAGCAGCATGGGGCCCAGCGACGGCGACGGCGGCGTTGGCGACCGCTGCCGCTGCGCCGTCGGAGTGCATGCCGTACGCACGCATGGCGCCGTGACCGCTTGCAACTCCCCCAACTGCTATTGGCAGCGGTGGAGCCCACATGGAAGCGCTGCTCTCCCTGCTGCGTCCCGTGCTGTTGCCAGGACCGGAAGGGCCGGGCCCGGGGCCGCCAGCCGCCATCGCCGCTACCTGCGCCCTGGCCATAGGCTCCTGAGTCGTCAGAATCGGCCCTAGGGAGGTATGCCACGCTTGTGGCTGTTGGGGCTGCTGCGGCGGCGGCAAAGTGCTAGCTTGCATAGTTGTGAGCTGCTGGTGTTGAGGCTGGAGTGGATGTTGATGCTGCTGGAGTTGGTACTGGTGTTGATATTGGGGCTGGTGTTGAGGTTGGGGCTGGTACTGCTGCTGCGGGGGCGACATTGTGTGGTGAGCGGCGAAAGGCAGCTGCTGCTGCTGTGGCGCCGGTGGTGAGATGGGCGGCAGCGCCTCAGAAATTGTGTAGGGCAGCTGCACACCATGAGGCATGCCTGCAAGCGAGGGAGCCACCATAGACTTACGGCCGTCTCCGGTAGCGCCACCAGCAGCGAGCAGGGCATTCGAGTAAGGACAGACAGCAGAACCGCAGGGGTTTCCCCAAGATGCGCGATTCGTACAGAGCAAGCAAAGAAGAAAACCACGTCAGCGAAATAGCCGGCCCCGTGTTCCTAATCCAACCAGAGATAATCAAAAAAGCAAAAGCCAGCGCATAAGACGGCAAGGGGTAGAGCTTTGCTGTGACCTACAGGCCACAAGCGTTGGAGATCCCAAAAGCCTCCCCCGGTATCGCCACCCATTTGGGACGATCACCTAGCGCAGCCTTGACGAGAGCCAACCCAGATGCATCCCTCACTCATCCAGCTCGCCCAACTCATATCCCCCCTCTTGCTCGCGCGCGGATTTCATGTCCTCCTTGGACGCGACGCCTTTAAGTGCCAGGCCTTAAAGGCCTTTGGAGTAGAAGCCCTGGCGTGTGTAACGCCGCGTCCCGAGGAGGATATGGATCCCGCGTACCCAGAAGCCTGCCATGTTAATGCCATGAAGTTCTCAAGTGGCAGCTCCGAAACCACCCTGTGGCCCGAAGAATCCTTACCAGGGCTTGTTGTGACGATTCCCGAGGGTGAGAGCTCGCTGCTGACGCTGGCCTCAGCAGTGTAGGAGGAATCCATGGTGGAGACAGATGACCCCACGGCCTCGGCCAGCCTGTCGTCCCGTGCGGCAGCGATTACTGCCCCACTGCCAGGCGTCTGCTGCGCAAGCCTGCTTAGTCGTGGCGGCAACGCTGCTGGCCCCGTTGGCGACTTCATCTGAGAGGGAGAGAAAAAGGCGAGAGCCAAGAGCAACATACAATGAAACCCCGTCGACGTATTCTGCATGCGCATGCTCGACAGCACACGCCATGCACATGCAGACGCAAGCAGGATATCAGATAACCGTTAATGTGACGGCGCTCGATCAAGCAAAGATCACGCTGATAAAAAAAGGATCTTCTTCAGCGTGCAAAACAAACTACACCTGTGTTACACTTTTATATCTAAATACTTGAACAAGACAATTGAGCACCTGACTTGAGTCCACCGTGCGCCTCACTTGCAACATGAGGACAAAGTGCATACACGGTACTTTGGCCGTGGGGCAACAAGTCGCCCTTACGGCACAGAAGCCAACGCGGTCTTGCCCCCAGGGCTGTCTTTACCTGTGCCACCATGAGAGAGATTCCGGCGATGTCGCGGCTATCCAGGTCGTACACGTGAGGGTGCGGAACACCGCCGACGCCACCGATGGTGCCAGCCGTGTTGGTCGCCATGGCAGTGTATGGAGGAAGCTGGTGAGCCGTGGCCATCGGATGATGTGCATGGCGGGAGGAAGGACTTGGGGTTCCAAGCGACTCCTCGCTCTGTGGGGTCCGGGGTTGACAGCCGAGTCAGTCGTAATGAGGCCACTCGGTCGTAACCACAGCCACTGCACTATTTTACTCTTCCCACCCAAGTCAAGGGTGTACCAGCAGCGCTGATGGACAACTTTCCGAGGACACAGACCGAAAGTTCCCAGCGGAAATTCATCCTCCTCAGCCACAGTGGCAAATTCAAGCAGGTGCTGCCGAGCCTTTGCTGCTGCCTCCACAAACACCTTGTGGCTGCGATACTGACACGGAGTGAAGTAATGCATTACAGCTGCGTCCAGGTGGGCCCACATCCTCTCTTCCAGCTTGGGCAAAATGCCCATGAAGATGTGGGATGAGAACACCAGCATGAAGTGCAGATAGTCCTCCATCCGCCATGAGTCCCTGCCAAAGCACACCTCTTAGTCCCTTGGCTGTGTGGGAGGCGAACAAGCCACCAGGGACTGACGGAGGGAAAGTCCAAAGCAAAACCTAAAACAACACTCCCGCCTCCTCATAACCCTCTTCCCCCCCTACAACCCCCCCTCCCCCCTCCCCTCCCCTGCCCCTCCCCGTCCCTTCGTTTCTTTTGCTTATTATTATGCCAGGCTACCGCTACCCGCCGTCGCAACTTCCACCATCACCGTCACCGCCGTCGCCCCTGCCGCTTTCAACCCGACGTCACCCCTTCCAACATCACCGTCACCGCCGTCGCCCCTCCAACAGCTGCCAACCCCACCGGTGCCTGAGCCATCGTCACCAACCCTGCCGTCAACCGAGCCACCCGCCGTTGCTCCTTCTACCATCACCATGCCCGG